GATGGGGGGAAGACAAGGAGGAAAAAAACTGGTTATCGTTCAGACGTATAAATCAAACAAACGCCAACTCTACGTCACTGCTAGAATATACGTTTTTAAAACTACTTCCAATTAACAACAAGTTGACACAAGCCAAACAGAATAAAAGGCACGTTTTCCGTCGATTATCCCCCACGTGCACAGCCCAGTATTCAAAACTCTATGGGAAGACCGACCTGACAGATGGCCTAGTACACGAAAATCCTTTGGGTGGCTAAAACAGTGTGTGGGAAGGGTCCAAAAAGGCTTATTAAGGCCTGTACTAACTCTGTGATAAGCATTTAGTTAGGAAACTATGTCCTCCTTAGGTTGTTTATTCGACAGCACCCTCGTTCGGGGATATTTGAAACCGTTTACTTCTTCGAGTTTACTGCCATTAATCTCGACATCATTTTTGTGGTCAGAAATGTACTTTGACAGCTTTTCGGCCTTAACAGATAGACTGACCAATTTGACTCGTAGACTCCACTATTAAAAACCGTTGGTAACAAATCGAAAACAAATTCAGGCAAAGAATATAAGGTAAGGGAACGGGATCGGAAAGTACTTTGTAGCAACAGCCAGCAGAGACTAGAAACGGCACCATGGTTTAGGGGAGTGCCGTTGGAACAACAGAACGGCACATGCCTCGTTTTGAAACGTGGAGAATGAGACAAGATCCAATGCTGTGTTGTCGATTGCCGAAAACAAGGTTGCATCTGAAGATTGAAATTAAATATCCAATGTCGATAATGACAGACCTTCTGATCCGCTTTATATTTATTCTAGGTTATCATTAAGGGCCCACTGTCTTCTTCGTGCCAGAGGTCAATTCGGAGTTTCTGCAACCAGCGGCAATTTCGCCCAAAGCGCATTGAACGTCCGTTTTCGTTGTGGTGTTCATTTGGCAGTTTCCCACGAATGGAGAACCCCGATTCCTGTCTTAGAAACTTTCCTTTCCGTCTGCATACCTCGGATTTTTTGCAGGCACCCATCAGGAAGACGGTTTATTTCAAACCCAGACCACTGGTCACCGCGGGCATCCAGGCTGAGAGACGCTTGAACGAGCATTCCGTCATGCGTCACCCTAATTGTCACCACAATGACTCCCAAGGCTGAAATTTTCGTCCACGAGGCGCCGTATCATTGAATCTTATAAACATTTTTGGTGAGGTTGTCTCTAGCGGTCTTTTTGGGTCCTTCTGTATTATAGCTACCTACTTAAATTTTTAAGTAGGTTCAATTACCTGTACACTTCTGGTTTTCTACGCGCCATCCGTCGATTTAGCAGGGACTTTCTGGTGGCATTGGAATGCAGAACGGTTCTCCGAAGGCAAACACATTCCACAACTGCTAAAATAGGCAAACTAAGCAAAATTGGCCTTTTGAACTACCCACGGAAAC